TATTCAGGAAGCAATGTTCATGTAGCATTGTATTCAGGAAGCAATGTTCATGTAGCATTGTATTCAGGAAGCAATGTTAATGTAGTATTGTATTCAGGAAGCAATGTTCATGTATCATTGTATTCAGGAAGCAATGTTTATGTATTATTGTATTCAGAAAGCAATGTTCATGTATCATTGTATTCAGGAAGCAATGTTCGTGTATCATTGTATTCAGGAAGCAATGTTCGTGTATCATTGTATTCAGGAAGCAATGTTCATGTATCATTGTATTCAGGAAGCAATGTTCGTGTATCATTGTATTCAGGAAGCAATGTTCATGTATCATTGTATTCAGGAAGCAATGTTCGTGTATCATTGTATTCAGGAAGCAATGTTCATGTATTATTGTATTCAGGAAGCAATGTTAATGTAGTATTGTATTCAAGAAGCAATGTTCGTGTATCATTGTATTCAGGAAGCAATGAACCCGTGAGGCATGATGAAGTAATCTTCGTTATCAATAAATGATATAAATATGTCTTTCTTGCATTTTTTCAACACTAAACTAGGAGAAAGATGTAAAGTTATATATTTCTTTAGTTAGATATATGACATTTCTTCGAAACCTAATAAATAGTTAATTATTATTATGAATTTAGGTTAACATTTTCAGTGTCACTTCAAGGGTGAAATTCCAACATTGTATTCTATTTAACATTAAATAAAAAGTATTTCTTTTAGTGTTGTAAAAGATATCATTTAATATCTCCAAAAGAATTTCTTAGAATTTGTGTTTTGTCTCCTGATTGATAGCTGTTCTGAGTTTTGGTACACGCAGGTGCGTGAGTATTGTTTTAGTGTGCGTTCAACGAGAACGTGCCGTAAGATAGACGTTCGACTTACCAGTCCATACTGTTGGAAGTAACTTTTTACATCCTCTAGCGTAGTTGGCGCTGAGAGACCTCCAACGAAAACCTTCTTAGTACGCGTTACCATCTGTGAGGAAATAAAAAGAAAATCATTAAGCCTGGGATGTAGAGTCTTTAGTGATCTACCTTAATCAATTCTGTATAATATGTTTTATATAATACAAATACAATTGAGGCCTAAAAAATGGCATATTGTTTTATAAATTATATATATATATATGTAATGAAATAAGTATCTTCAATACTATTATTTACATTAATTGTTAATAGGCAATTCAAATCAGCACTATAAAACAATAATGAACTTAATATAAAATAAGATTAAGAAGTTTTTCGCATTGTAAATCCCAGTCGTAACCATAAAGTCATAATGGATAATGCCTGTGGTAATAGCTCCCAAATGCGCTGGGGATATCCCATCTACCAGACAAAATCCAAACGCTGATGTTAAACTAGCCAGCAATCCTGGAAAATCAAATAAGGATATGGATTTGAGTGCTTACTCCCACAACGTCTCCACTCCTACTGCCTTTCACTGTCACATATATATAAGTTCGAGCAAGAGAAATATCTTTTCTGTGGAATATATCAAAAATATATGTTTTGTGCTTATATTGCCTTAATATAAACTGTTTTCGACCTTGAATATCGAAACTCTTGTTTCTTGAAGTTATCATAATTATAACCTGAGATGAAACAAAATATTCAACTTTATGATGTGATCTTCATAAACATTGTAATTTTTGAAAATGTAATAATTAGGTCTTCATAAGTTCTTTGTATACAATATCCTTCCTAAAAACAACTGCTAAGCCTATTTCGACGATAATGCGTTATTTCTGTTATCTAATTAGAAAAGTATTGCTTGTGAAATTTCCAGAATAATAAATAATAAAACAGTGGATAAAGTTCCGAAAGTTTGTGTGATGTGTTAAACTCATATACGGTAAAACGTTGTGTGATGTGTTAAACTCATATACGGTAAAACGTTGTGTGATGTGTTAAACTCATATACGGTAAAACGTTGTGTGACGTGTTAAACTCATATACGGTAAAACGTTGTGTGATGTGTTAAACTCATATACGGTAAAACGTTGTGTGATGTGTTAAACTCATATACGGTAAAACGTTGTGTGATGTGTTAAACAGCGCAGATAGCTTATTGTACAGCTTTGCGCTGACACTAACAAGTACAGTATAAATCATTCACCAGTTTTATCTTTTCGTTCTTAAGCCATATAGCTTGATATTTTTTTACTAAATAACCCCTTTTGTTCGTCCACATTTACCAACTTGCTCAAAGCTAGAAATTGTTGAAGAATGTATTATTGTTGAGGCTGTTTTCTAAATCATGTAGATCGTCAGAAACTTACATTTAAGTTACAAAATACAATAACCAGTCTGTTGACAAATGCCGAACTTAAATGATTAAAAGAACAAAATAATTAAAAGGTTCAAAATATTCAATTTCTACAAATTATAAGTGTTAAATTTTTAAAAATATAAATAATACACACTGAATATGAAATTTAATGATAAATTAGTGAATATATATCCTCAAGAGGTAGACACAGTAGATTTAGAAACTTCAAAATTATTAATTCGGGATTAGTGAAAATAATTCCGGCCGGACAGTAAATACACGATAAAACATGGCAAGAACCAACTTCCACTTGCGTCTGGATTAATGATAAACAAAATTAAACCCTTCTCCAAATGATATCTTGTTTAAACTCATTAAAACACATAGAAAACATTAAACTGATCATGAGTAAAGGTAAAATATATTATTATGTTTTATTTTTGGCTTTTTGTTTTTGTTAAATAAAGTAAATGCTGGCCACTACCTTAAACAAGAGTGCTCTAAAAAACTATTAATTCAATCCGACGGATGTTGATACGTTCCTTCATTTCGTATATTCTATTTTACAGCCCATCCACTATTCCTGCCTTGACATAGTTTGAGATATAGGGAAGAATAACCAATGCTCGTCACTTAAGAAACCAGCCTACCATAACTCCAAGCTAGATCCCTGGGGTATACCACGACGATGTGCCTCTAGACATCAGAAAATATAGGAAATTTTCTCAGTTAGAAAGAGACTCAAATTTCTCTTGTGCGTTCCCCGGATAGTGAAATCGTATACAGTTGGGAGTTCAGTAAAATTACTACATGTCTTCTGTATATAAACAGGACATCGTCGTGACAAAGTTATATTTTTATATATAAAGTCCTGGGTGTATATTAACCAGTTATGTCTATTTATGCAAGTTTCTTTACTTAAAAGCTCTCCTTTTAAATTCTGCATTTGGTATCACATTAAATAGTGCAAATTATATTGATACTGATAATGATAAGCGCCCCCCC